CAGGCTTTGTAAACTTTAGAGCATTTTGCCAAACATATCTACCAAATGCAATTGCTCCAATGTGAGATATAGCCAGTGGTGTGTTGGTAACTGCTTAACAATCAGGTCTGCAGTTGTTGGAGTGAGGCTAATTTGTGACATTTGCTCATTTCCATGGATTGAATCAAAACTCCTACCATGGCCCAACACCCAAATTCCTTAATTAGTTGATTGACTGATTCACTCAACAAAGAACCTAAAACATGCAAAGTCTAGTGCCAGGCTCTGACAGTAGGGGACATGAGGATAACTACACATAAATCCTACACTCAAAGACCTACAGTCCAGCTAGAACAATAGAACACACAAAGAAATATACAATATAAGGGGAATGTGAAGAATATTATCACCTCTGAAAACAGGGAAAAGCCTTAATTGCCAGCAAAAAGAACAATGAAAGTCTAAGTCTTATTTACCCAAAGAACCCTTAGTAGTATGCCTATGCTTTCTACTTCCCAATTCCAAAAATTCTCTAAGTGGAAGATAATTTTTTTTTCCTACAGTTAATTAATATGTGTGTATATGTATATGTATATCAGAGTTTCTCAACCTCACCACTGCTGCAGGCTGGATAGTTGTGCAGGGGCTCACCCATTCACTGTAGGATGTTTAGCAACATCTGAATACCTAGAGGTCAGTAGAGGCCAAAGGCACACATGCTCCCCACCCGAGTTATGACAAGCAGAAAGGTCTCTGGACATTGCCAAAGGACTCAGAAGGGCAAAATCAGCCACTGCTGTGTATGTATGAACATGCGGATATGGATGGGATATATGCATGGATGGAGTGTATATACGATCCCTAGATATGGACATGGGTATATATGAATAAAGGAGTTAGACAATCAGGGGAAATTTTTATAGTAACTGTCTTTGTAGGTTTTAAATATGTTCATTCATTTATTGAATGCTTACTATGTACCAGGTACATACAGGCAATAGCAGGGGGCAGGGGCACCTGACAAAAATCCCTGCCATCATGGAGCTTACAGTGAGGGCAGAGACAGGTGATAAATAACAATAATAAACCAATTATACAGTATATTAGAAGGCAAAGTAATGTTAAGTAGTGGGGAAAAATATAAAGCAAAGAAGCTTAGAGATTCAGAAAGAAGTGGGATGAGGGACATGCTGCAATTCTAAATCCCAAAGGCCTAAACATGCCAGGCAAGATGCTTATGCTCACATTTTCAGATCATGTGTTCACAGGTGGCTTCTTGAGCATATAATCTGAAAACAAGTCTAAATTTTGTTAGACTTAATAACAGAGGGAATTTATTCACTTTGGTTCACCACCAAAGGGAGGAGAATCCTACCAAATTCATAGGAGGGCCGTCACACTACCCAACCACTACCTCACTCCTCCACTCTCTGTCCAACCCTAGAGTCTGCTAAACCTCACTTGCTCTGAAAAGCTACCATCCCCTGAAGAACCAGTGGGCAAAAGCGTTCATTAGAGATTGCCTAACCACTAGGGTTCCTTTCAGTAATACGATGATATTAACAGATCATCAAAATGAATGTAGTGAATACTGCTGATGGGAAAGGAGAGGATGGATAAAAAGAATATTAATTTTATTCTTGCAAATCTTTTTGCAGGCCTAAACTGATGCTAAAAGGCTGGTTTACACTTACCATGTTCAGGTCCTAATCCACATCATTGTGAAAATTTTCCTTGTCATTCTTTTTATTAACACACTTTAAATCTCCTCTTCCAAAAATTCATTTCTCACCAGAAACTTTTTTCACCCAATTAACTACAGAGTCTACAAAGATGACACTACAATGAATGAATAAACACAAAGATATCAGCAAAAAAGAACTGAGTTTTTCTGGAGCTGGATTTGTAACATTCTGTAGGCATGGCCTTTCCCCTCCCCTCTTTACTTTTTTTATTTTAAATACATGAATAATCACTTTTTAATTTATTTTTAATTGACAAATAAAATTATATATTTATGGTATACAGCATGTTTTAAAATATGTATACATTGTGGAATGATTAAACCAAGATAAGTATACATTTATATTATCTCACATACTTATCAGTTACTTGTGGTGAGAACACTTAAAATCTACTCTCTTAGCAATTTGCAAGTATACAATGCATTGTTATTAACCATAGTCACCATGTTGTACAACAGATTTCTTGAACTTACTCCCCCTAACTGAAATTTTATATCCTTTGACCAATATATCCCCAATCTCCCCACCTTCCCCACCTCCTGGTAACCACTACTCTACTCTGCGTGTGAGTTTAACTTTTTTAGATTCAACATAGGAGATCATGCAGTATTTGTCTTTCTGTGTCTGGCTTCTTTCACTTAGTATAATGTCCTCCAGGTTCATCCAATCTGTCTCAAGTGACAGGATTCCCTTCATTTTTGAAGCTGAATAGTATTCTGTTATGTATATACACTATATTTTCTTTTTCCATTCATCTGGTGATGGATACTTAAGTTGCTTCCATATCTTGGCTATTGTGAATAATGCCGCAATAAACATGGGAGTGCAAACATCTCTTCAACACACTGACTTCAATTCTTTTGGATATATACCCAGCAGTGGGATTGCAGGATCATATGGTAGTTCTATTTTTAATTTTTTAAGGAACATCCATACTATTTTCCATAATGGTTGTACTAATTTACATTCCCACTAATAGTGGACAAGGGTTCCCTTTTCTCCACATCCTGGTGTAGACATTGCCTTTATACTTTTAGTACCACAGACAGCATAATTAAGTACATATTTTCAGTATTCTTCACTTTTTTAAGTCATAATATTTTGCTTTTATAATTGGCTCCAGTTACAAAAGCTATATATAAGAAATACCAAACATTGGCTTCTTAGGGTTATTATTATTTTTATTACCAATGTAGCCACCACCACCACTAGAAATCACCTACTTCTAATTACTCCTTCTATTCAATAAGATACTTAAGAAATAAAGTACAGGAGCAAGGCCAAAAAGAAACCTCCTCCATTTAACTAGAGTCCTAATAACAAGAAGCAATTCTCTAATGGAGAAATACATTACAACACAGTGAAAAATAAGAAAATTAGCCTTGAAAATATCAGGGTTATACTAGCATATGAAATCATAAAGGAATTTTCAAAACATTTTTAATTTAAAAGATTTAAGCAAAATTATTACCCCTTTTCCATAAAATAAGGTGATGGTTGATAGGGTTATGAGTGATCATGATTTTTTGGTTTTATTATTTTCCGTATTTAAATAAATTTTTAGATTTAAGAATGTCTTATTCAGAAGTAAAAGTAGAATATACCCCTAAAGCACCCAGACCCAGAACTATTCTCTCAACTAAATGCTTAATATTTGCAAATATGAAAGGTCAATTATTCAGGACAACAATTATTGAGGATGACAAATGTCCATGACAACATAATTTTTCAATCTGATGATCATTCTTTATTAACTCTGAAGTAACAATCTACAGAGTGAAAACTTTGCTTGTTGCCTGGGTGGGGACTAAAGTCAAAACAAAAGGAATCAGATCTAAAAAGGTGATGATTCTTAGCCAGAAAACAAATTTTGGACACATGAAAGAACAGACTATCATTCAATCAAATTGCTGTACCACTTCTGTCAGTCAGGACTGCAACTGGCTGCAAGGAAAAGCAAACCTGATGGCTGTCACTTAGTCAAGTAGGGGTTTGTTTTTCTGCCATTACAACAAACCTGGAAATAGACAGTCTAGGGTCAGTACAATGGCCCCCAAAGGTCCCAGCTCCTTCCCTCCATGTCCAGATTCAGCTCCATCCTTATAAACAGAAGACACTAAAACTAAGAAAGTGCAGTGTCTGGCTTCAGAACACAAGAACTTCCAAGGTAAGTTGCTGAGAACTTCACTAGCAGCATAGGGCAAAAGCTGACAGGCTGTTTCAGAAAAAGGATGCAACTTCATTTTGCTTCATTTAAAGAAAAAAATCAGGTGACATCATCCCCAACAAAATAACCAAAATTTTCTGAGTTAAATGTCACTAAATGTTATTTGACTGCAAATGCCATTAGACTGAACAATACATTTTTGATAAAGTGTAATGGTTAACGACAGAAACTATGAAGTCAGGCTACTTATGCTCAAATCCCTACTTAACCACTTACTAACTTTGTGACCTTATGAAAACCATTTAACTTTATTAAGCCTCAGTTTTCTCATGTATAAAGTGTAGGTAACAACAGTCCCTCCTTCACAGGATTACCGTTAGGATCAAATGAGAGATCACATGTAAAAATAGCACTGTGCCTAACGCACAGTAAGTATGTAATAAATTCAGCTATTATTATCTTTAGCATCATGACCATCATCATCATCACCATACTTTGGCATAGTTCAACATCCAATTAACTACCTGACCATAATAATAACTGAAGTCTTTCTGCCCTATAGCTCCAAAGTCATAGGAAGAAAAGCAATACACGGAGAAAAAAATCAAGAAGCCCTCCAACATGGTTTCCTCATCTACTGGACCCTCAGGCAACTTAAAAGTTCTTTATAGATCTTCTGATTAAAAAAATGTAGGTAAATTTCATCCGAGTTGAACTTTTCTCATTGTAGAGGCCTTCCTTTGCTGGTCTCCCTAGCATAGGCTTAACCTCTGTATTAAGAAATCAAGCATGACCAAAGTATAGTTAAACTACTGGATAATAACAATATCATAATGCATTTATATACCTTTCATTCACAAATGTCACATACTTTAGATTGTATGCTCCTTAAGGTCAGGAACCTTCATGTCTTTCCCCATAAATTTCTAGTGCAGTTTCTAGTTGAACATAACTGTTTGAACACACACAAATGAGTCAATTTCATTTCACCAGATGCCCAGGGATTAAATGATTGTCCCAGGGATATTCAATAGGCATCCTTAGAGTAATATCACCACAGCGTTACCTCAAAGTAGACACAAAACAAGTAAGTTTTAAGTATCACTTACTCTGAGTTTCCACAAGATCCAAAGCAACACTAGAAGCTGTGTCCATTCCAGAGCTGATACAGGCTTGGAAGTTTTTTAAGGAGGAGAGAGCAGACTCTACACCGCTGAACGATATGAAACCAGTTGAACCTGAATTGGAACTGGAACGCCCTGGCATCTTGAAATTATTACCTATGTTTTCAAACACAATGAAATAGGTTTGTAAGTCAGAATGATAACTGCATAAGAAAATAAAACTGCTGTCAACATGCATACGAATGTATCTAACATCCCACAAATGTCACACAATTATCTATATCCTATATCCCTTGAGAGGATACCAAGCAATGTGCCATAATCTAGGCTACCAAACACTGATGTACTCAATATATGGAACAAGTAACTGTCTTCTTTTCTAAAGAGGGACATTACCCTCTTCCACAAGATTCTCAATTCTCTGAAGAATTCAACAACAGCACAGTTCTTAAAACCTTAAAAGATAAAAGGGTAAGAAAAAGTAGACCACTCATACATTACAATTTCAAAAAAAAGAAAATAATACTAAAAAGTAGTTTAATAAGGCAGGGTTTTGAAAACCTGTAATTTTTAACTTATCTGACATATACAGAACTCTGAAAACTGTA